CCAGAGAAGCACATACTCACCTCTCATTTGCTCCAGCAGCTGAAAACATTTCAGCAGCTGATAAAATACCCAGTATTACCAGGTTTAATAGAGCATTTGACTGTCTCATGCTATAATCTCTTGGTGATCCATTGTTGGTTGAATCTATTGTTGTCACACAGTTCTTAATTTCATTGCTTCTGTCGGGTGAATGGAGTGGCAGATAAGTATATAGTGACACTATAGTGAAGCTGTTGCTTTGTCCTACATGGAAAGAGTATTTCCTTTTAAATAACCTAGTCTGCTTGTCCAAAAAAGGAAAAAAGGTAATTAACCAACTTAAACTATTGATAAGTATCTGATGCAAAATAAATTAGCTAAACAATAGCCAAAGTTCCATGAAGATTATGTGCAAAGCAGCGAACACTTGTGGATTTAGTCATAAATATGAATTATTCAACAGAAAGAATACTCTTAAGCGTCTCATTTTACCCCTGACATTTGTCCCTTGCTGTGTCTCATGCAGGTTTGAGCAGGCATTTGTTAACAGTCTTCTGTATGGATCAGACAGAAGCTATTACTGGACAGCACTGCAGGATCTGAACCGCACTGGTGTATTTACTTGGTACAATGGCGATGAAGTGACTTACACCCACTGGAACCGGGATGAGCCGGGTACGCATCAAGACCCTGAGTAACCACTGTCTCACCTCGCACGTGCCACTAACATAAAACATCTGTGTTTATCTGTGTGCCACATAATTTAATTTTCTGATTGGAAACATGGCTACCTGAAGACATTATTGGAGCCAGAACTAAAATCGTATTATTATATCCTCATGTCATGTATGTGAAAGAAAGCTAAAAGACATTTTCATGTCCATACAGTTTGAAGCCACTGAATATTAATTTAGTCTTACATGTTGGTTACCAGGTCAAACTTCTCTGCTACAGGTATTCATATAGGGGCAAACTTGTACTCAGAATGATGACAACTTAATTATTCTTACTTAGATTATTGCATCATTAGGACCAACCATGACCACCCTATATGACTTGCATGACAAATGGGTGCTAGATTGCAATTTGGTTCTCAATTATCCATAGGAAAGGTAACCATTGGTGATTAGTCACAACAACCTTATTAAAAATTTCCATGCAAAAAAAGAGTGGCACTTCTGATACTCTTGTTGGTGCTCTCCACCATTGACTGGTCAACCCAATCATCACGGGCAGTGATCCACAAACTGAAACATGGTTCGTGAGCTATGTAATGGACGAGAGTAATCCCAATTTCAGTCTGTCTGTGTTAAGGCCTAGATTTGAGGAAATAATGTCAAAGGTCAGGGCCTAGGGAAGCCAATCCTTATAACGTAGGCAGGTTGTCATTTGGATCAATATCCCACCACCGTTTTATGTGCGCCTGAAGCGATAAAGGAAGAGGAAACTGATCATTTTTCAGAAAGTGTTCTTTTATTTATTTAAGCTGTAAGTCTAGCCAATGTTTAATTTTGCCCCCATTTTCCATTTGTAGTTGTAGATTTGTAGTTATATTAAGTGAGGTGAAATTCCTCTAATGGAGCCCTGGATAGCACAAAAAATGCATCAGGAGTTGAAATCCTCTAAAACTAAAAAAAGATTTGTATGGGCCTTCACTTTAATGTAAGGTGCCCATAACTCCTCTGAGCTCAAGAGGAGAGGACAGGAGAATCAACTAAACTGTTTATTTTCCTTATTTACTCTAAAAGATGATTCCCCTCCTGTAATATTTGCATTGTGATGTGTAATATTTTACTTGCCATTTATTACTTATTTTCTCTGACTCTCTGTTCTTATTTTTTCTTTTGTCTACACAGGCTATGATAAAGGGGGATGTGTTGTGTTGGCTACAGGACGCTCTCTTGGTCTTTGGGAGGTAAAGGACTGCGTTACATTCAGAGCAAAGTACATCTGTATGCAGAGCCTGATCCCAATGACCCCTCTGTTACCTGCAGCTCGACCCACACCCAGCCTTAACGGAAGCTGCCCAGATAGCTGGAGCTCTGCACCAAATCTAAGGCATTGCTACAAGGTGAGCACAAAAACACAGGTAATAGATTTAAATGACAGTGCTGTAGAGAAGGTTTTGCTTGAAAGCCAGAGACTTATTTAAACTCTTGTTTAAGTATGTCTATTTTTAGGGCAATATGCTTTTATCAGTGGCAACATATCAGACTTTGCTTGCAATATATTCTGCAGCATACAAAAAAACTCACTGCCCCAGAGGAGCTCGCAGTTTAATGGTTGTAGGAAAACCATGCAAATATCCATATTCCAAAGCCAATTTAGACAGAAATAAGTGAGCCTACTAGTGCCTTCTCATGGACTGTATGTCTATTGTAGGAACGCTGGACTCCCAACTGGACGAGGATCAGTGGTCCAAAATCTATAAACTGTTTGAAGACAGCCCTCTGTTGACAGGGGCTCTCCAGAGAAGTCTTTAGAGTATTGGAAGGATGGGAGCGCCACAATAGTTAAGTCCAGTAATTTAGGAATGCAAAAGCAGAAAGTCACACTGGTGCCTGACTGTTACGCTATCTGTTCTCTCTCCACAATCGCAGTACAGATTTGAACCCATTGTCAGCATACAGGCCCTGATAAAGGGGGAGTTGTGAGGCCTTGAAACAACTTGGCTTTCTGCTTTTGAATCGTGTTTACTAAAACCTTTTACTGGACTTATCCATCTATTGTGGTGTTCTCATCCTTCCAATACTCTACAGTTTTCTTGTACTGTGGCAGTAGACTGAATGAGTAGGAAGACCTTTCAGTAACTTTACAAGTCTAAAGTAATTGTCATGTCACAATATACAGCAATAGTGTCATTAGAAAAACCTCTACCTTTTATCATTAAACAAGAGTCCATGAGCTTCATTCTAGTTACTTTGCCTAAGTTGAGATGATGTAATTCATCTGCTGCAAGGAGAAGGAAACATTTCCTCAGTCTCCTTTCCCTCAGTGATCAGACTGTTGCACTGTAACTTGAAGCAATTCATAAGGTGAGAAGCTGCATCAGATGTTTTTGAACAGAACCAAGAACTTGCCAGAAACCAGAGTTTACACGAGTGTGTCATCTTTGAGTCAGCATCTTAGTGCAGGAGGTAGATGCTGACACTGGATTGTGACTGAATAAAGACGGCTACCTCCTTGTGATAAGAAAAGCAGATAAAAGCATTGTCACGTTGTACTGTAATTGGTAATAAATTCCTGTAATTGTCACACGTACGCATTACTTAGCATGCACTTAACATGAAAAAAATGTATCTGATGCTAAGTCCAATTTAAGCAAAGAGAGAAAATATAAAGTCAATGCAGATAATATATCTTTGGTAAATGCTCTACACAAGACTAAAAAAACAAAAGTGTTAACCATTAAGCTGCCCGGCCTAGAGAAAACCATTGTTCTTTAATGTGTAGAAGCTGTCAGGATTGCTATTAGCACATTTGCATGTTGGACAAGAAAAAGATCAAATCTAAATTTAAAACTAAATCTAAATAAGTCCAAATAATATATTTTTTTCTGTTTTTGTGGTATGTTCTTATTTACTATGTCTTCCTTCCAGGTTTATCATTCAGAGAAGCTGCAAGAGAAAAAGTCTTGGATTTCAGCGCAGCAGTCCTGTCGAGAGATTGGGGCTCAGCTGCTCAGTGTCTCCAGTGTGGCAGAAGAACACTATGTGGCTCATTTACTGAACAAAATATTTGGGTTGGTTCTATTTAGGACTTACTGTCCTCACACTCTCCCTTCATACCTCTGCGTCTAATTGGACCAGACTGACACTTTTCTTACTTTCTTACAGTGAATCGGACCCTGAAAGTCATGAGCAGAACTGGTTTTGGATTGGTCTGAACCGTAGAGATCCCAGCGGTGATCAGAGTTGGATCTGGAGTGATGGACAGGGGGTTAGTTAATGATATACTACAATATTTAAATTATATACCAGTAAATGTGTAAGCAATAATAAGCATCCACAAACATCGAAACCTGTGATCCTTTCAGTGCCTGTAATCCAGAACTGAGCATCACTAGAGTTAAAGAGACCCACACCATACATCTTGCCATTCCATCCACTAGTACCTGTTCTTACAGGCTGTTCTAACCTCTTTATTTCTCTCTCTTTCACGTCACAACTCTCTTGCAATCCGTAGACCGCAGTTGTTAAAAGTCTGTGTAAAAATCCACTTTACATTCCATGCAATACCTATGTATAGAAAGGTTGCCTGGATATAATGGCATCGTCCAACCTTTCCTGATTGGCTGGAATATTTTTTTTTATATTGACTCAGCAGTTGATTCAAGATTTTCCAATCTATTGACAGCCATATGTTGCACATACACATTGGAAGGCAATCTGACATGGAGATGAGATCTAACTCCTGTAAGGATCTTTAAATGCTATTTTAGATTCTACAGATTGTGGCATAAACATACATGCCTATATTCTAAATGTCCATATTTTTGCCAGTGCAAGTGAGAGCAGAAGCATAGCTAGGCCTAGACATCCCCCCGACTGGCTTTTCTTTGGGGTGGACCGGCTAAACATAGCCATTTAGTATTTTCTCCTAGAGCGGTCTGGTACATTATGCTGGCATCCACAGGCATAGGAGTCTTCTACTTATGGGTACCCATTGCAAGTGTCTCATTATATGTATATGCATCTCTGCTTGTTATCACTCAATATAAAAACGTTTAAGGCCTACAAAATGTCTATATGTAGTAGAAATGTAAATGTCTCTACTAAGAGATCACAGGAAACCCAATTAATTTTGTTTATTTATTTCAGTATTCCTATCACAACTTTGACCGCAGCTATCAAGACAATGATGATATAAGAAGGTGTGTGGTGTTGGACCTGTCGTCTTTGCAGTGGGTGGCAATTGAGTGCGACTCTCAGATGGATTGGATATGCAAGCTGCCAAAAGGTACAGCTCCCTAACTTTTAATTGTAACCAGTTTCAGTACATCAAATAGTAATATTTGAACAAAGCTAAAATAATTACAAATAATAAATAACCTACAGACGCCATGATTTTAATATGTGTAGATGCGCTATTAGTAGTGTAGACTGCACAGCTTAAAAATGTATTTTTGCCTTTTTGTATAGCTTCTGTTGTGTTTCTGTTTTTAGCAAACAAAGGCTCTGCAGCCAAGACTGACACCAGTGATGCTGAGCCATACAGGTGTCTTCATGGCCTCAGTGTCATCAAAGGATGTGTTTTGTAAATCCATAGTCCACATTTTTATCCTGATGGAAGAAAGAACAAAAATTAACATTGATTTCCTTACAATGTGGGTATACACTGAAACACCACAGGCTGGTCATTTCATCAGCCAACACTGTGATTTAGCCTAGGCTTGGAATATAGGTTGACTCCATGCTTAGCCTGGTTCAGTTGGCATTTCCTTTTGTCAGACTAAGATTTTAAACATTGGGCTGGAGATGAAAGTTGCTTTCTGATACTTGCTCTTGGACATATAACTAGATATGCTGTTGCTGGAAGTTTGAGTTGGTCTGTTGAAGTACAACATGGCAGAAGTAATGTAATTTACTTCTTTATGTGCTGGTAGTACTTATTTTCCTTGTTTCATACCCCTTTTTCCTGCCTATATTAAGACTCAGCTTTGTAACCATGACTTGCCACTGTTTTATAGCAGTTTTTACTTTTCTGAAAGCTTCCCTGAACTAGGACTTGTTATAGCTTTAGTAATAACTGCATATATTTAACCCTCTTTGTGCATTAAAGTAGAATTCCAATCCAACTTTATTTTGTAGTTACAGTGGGAAAGGGTCACAACTTCTGTTAGGTGTTTATTGCTTTTTACGTCCTGTCTACCAACTAAAAAAGAAAGCTTTGGAAGTTGCACTATAAGTACACGCTCAGTACTGCTGAAATCCTTGACCTGGGTCACTTTCTGATAAAATACTTTTTTCTTTTAAATCCTCAGGAACAGACCTCAAAGAGCCAGAAGTTCCAAAAGGTGAGTTTGACTTTTTCCTCTGTATCATCACATATTTATTTCGATATTTTATGCGCAGTGTTTGATGTACTTTTTTGTAATGCCTTAGCTTGTATATGTCTATGGCAAAGTGAAGCCTCTTTCACTTTGCCATAGTAATGGAAGCACATTGCACTTAACATCCAAAAAGATATTTTCATCCTGATGTGCCGCTAAGAAAATGAAAGCTAGCAGATGATTGGTTGCTTTTGGTAAAACAATTTAAATCTTTTTTTTTAATGGAATGCAAACAAGGCTTTATATACGAACATTCATAGCTTTGGATGTAAAAATCATCTGTACGGAATATATTTGGCATTGGCATAACTCCTTTTGGAAAGCCTGTTGCTTTGTGTTATCGGTCACAGTAGACAAAGACAGGCAGCAAAAGGCAAGTTGATGATGTATGGGGAAACGAAGCAGAATAGAAAATCGAAGGAGCCGGTCCAAAAACGTTTGGGAGAAAAGTGGTGGCAGCCAAGCAGCTGTCATCACTGTTCGAGTATTCTGACAACAGCCCAGTGGGAGATTCATCCATCCAGGTTGAACGGAAAACATATAACAGTGCATGGCCAGCTTAAGATGACGTCTTCAGTCTGCTGCAATTAGGAGAAAACATCTCCTCCATCTTTCTCCCCCTCATAGTAGTAAGTTTAATAGAGTGAAGAGAGTGCCAGAAGTATGGTTGACAGTCCAGTCCAATTCTCAATCATATGACTGTGCTGCTTTCACTCTACTATCATTACTATTGGTAGTCAGGGGACCTCTTCTTCAGACCCATTGGATCAGAACTGGACCATCATATTATCACTTCTAATCAAACTGGAACAATGTAGCTTTATAGGAAGTCCCAAAGCTAAAGGTTATTGCAGGGGCTAATATGTTTAAGACATATTTGAACACAGTCAATAAGTGCAAATGTATTAGGACTTATATGACTGCATCACCCGTAAGCTAGCATCTCAATTCCTAGAAGTAGATACTGACCCAGGATGATGTCTGAACAAACATTGTGCTATCCTTCTGATGAGAAAAACAGACAAAGGCATTGTCATGGGGGGTACTGTGAGGTAATGAATACCTATAATGGTTACATTTACACATTACTTAGGATGCACATTCTTAACATAAGGAAATATATCTGATGCTAGGTCCACTTGAAATGTTTGAATATTCATTTGAGATTTTTTTTTTTTACATAAAATGTACCGTATTATGAATGTATGTATAATAAAATAAGCCTATTGACTGTTTCTCAGTTGTGTAACTACCCTCTCTTGCAGGAAACACAGAGTGGATCAAATTTGAGACTGCAGAGTATAAATTGTTTGAGCATCGATCCACATGGCTACAGGCTCAGAGGATCTGCACTTGGTTTCGGTCTGAGCTAGTGTCTGTTCACAGTCCGGCAGAGTTGGACTTCCTAATGCAAAACCTACAGAAGGTACAATATAAACCTGCATATAATCATTCCATCACAAGAGCACAACATATTTGTTTTCATGACCTGTACAGCTATAAATTGTGGAAGAGTGGGAGTGGCCACACAACGTTAATACATTTTAAAATTTAAAGTATAACTCCAGCCATCCAGCCATCCAGCCAAAACATTTTTATTTTTGTCTGTGTCCCTTTAGGGAGGGGGGAGGCTCCTGCAATTAGAGCAATGGGAGGTGGGTAGAGTGATGCAGGCTCTGCATCTCCTGGCGGCTCTTAGCAACCTGGGACGCTGTGGCTGGTGTCTTGCCCTGCTCCTGGCAACCAATGACGTTACTGGTTGCCAGGAGCTGTTATTTGTTTTCATGACCTGTACAGCTATAAATTGTGGAAGAGTGGGAGTGGCCACACAACGTTAATACATTTTAAAATTTAAAGTATAACTCCAGCCATCCAGCCATCCAGCCAAAACATTTTTATTTTTGTCTGTGTCCCTTTAGGGAGGGGGGAGGCTCCTGCAATTAGAGCAATGGGAGGTGGGTAGAGTGATGCAGGCTCTGCATCTCCTGGCGGCTCTTAGCAACCTGGGACGCTGTGGCTGGTGTCTTGCCCTGCTCCTGGCAACCAATGACGTTACTGGTTGCCAGGAGCTGTGCTTGATGCCGGTCAGAGTGTCCAAGGTTGCTAAGAGCTGGGCAGTGAGATGTGTATGGCTCGCCCAGCTCTTAGCAACCTGGGACACTCTGGCCAGAAGAAGGATGGCAGGTACACTGCAAACATTATGCAGCAGCCTGCCGACCCCCCCCTCATGACCCAAAGAGATACTGCCTGAGGCAACAGCCTCCGTCTTTCTCATTAAAGGGACGGCCCTGGTACTCGCAACAACACAAGGTGAGAGGTCCTTGTTTTGATGGCAAATTCTTTTCATTTCCTGTTGAGTATCTAGGTACAGTAATTGAGGGAAAATGTCTCTATATATGAGTGCTAAAGGTACCGTATTAGGAATTGATATAGTGTCATATTGTCCTGTGGTAAATGTAAAATACAACTAAGGAAGGTAATGCAGGTAATAAAATGCATTAACAGGATTATTAACAAAAAGGTGAAGAGTTTGGAGAAGACAGGAGAAGTGAACAATCTAGGACAACATAGCTGAACTGGAAAGTGAGCTGAATTGGATAATTTTTACAAATCAGCTATGTTGTCCTAGATTGTTCACTTCTCTTGGCTTCTCCAAACTCTTCATCCTTTTGGGAATGACCTTGTAAATGTTCCAAGGACCAGTGCATACAGTTGTTAAGTAACAAAAAAAGAAGAGGTAAGTATTATATGTGTGGCACTGCCTGCCACGTCTAATAAAGAAACAATGATGGATCAGTACCGGAAGAGGATAAGTTAGCTTAGAGGGTTCATTTGACAGTTTCAAGAGATGGAGAGTGCCAAACAATGTATGGAAAACAATAGAGTGACATGTGAAATGGGAGAAATTAAAAGAGTGAAAGTTTAATGTTGAAAGAAATTAGTGAGATCATGTATGGTGGGGCCTAAGACCCAAATTTTGGCAGAAACCACCCTCCTTAACATATGCGTACTTTCCCTCACATTGGCTGTTTTTTGCCCTGAAATTTGAAAGGTCAGTCATCCACGCAGGCACAACCCAACTGCCTAGGGGCAAATCCTTTATGGACCACTGCAGAGCTTTCCATCAATTCTTAAAGGTTGCTTGGGAGGTGGGGCACTTTATTTTATATTTTTTTTGTATTTATCCTATGCTGCTTTTTTATCCTCTGTAAGAATCTCCGGGTGCAGGAGCAGCACTGGTGGATTGGACTGCACACGTATGAAAATGACGGGAGATTCAGGTGAATTGCAGTGTTGTTAGCATTATAATAACAGATATACATTAAGTGTAACTATTATATTATAGTGTCTGATTACGTTTATTTGAACAGGTTGCTGTATGTGCTCCCTATAAATGACAATACTGTAATTTCCTTTTTAGTTTGCTTCCTTTGTGAGCTTTCTATTAAGCTATATTGTGCAAAGCCAGCAAATTGAAAATAGGTTGGGCACCAACAAATTGTTGAAGGTCAACTTTGGACTGCCATTATCTGAATGCTTTCATCAAAGATGTACACTTGATATGTGCACACATAACTTTACCTGTTGGTTTCCCAACATTTTACAGAGTTAACTAGACAAATATCTAAGTTTGTAGGTGTGTGTAGAGAGTGAATTTATAATGTGTATTGGGTTATACTCCGCACCTTAGATAATATATCTTATATGAAGCTTGTTTTTGACCACTTTTTTATAAGTATTCCACGCAGATAGGAATTTCCAGTTGAAATCTTGTTTATTCCTGGAACACAGGAGATTGCAATTTAAACTGGAACTGAAACATAAAAATATTAGTAAATAGGAATTTCATTTTACATCGGTTGATGATATTGAGTTATAGAATTTTGTTTCCTCCCCACAGTAGATGTGGCATTTTGCCTGTACACATGTAAGCCAACCTATTCAGTATGTCCTGGGAAAGGAGAGGCTGTCAAAAGTGTAATAAAAGCGGTGTAGATGTAATCTGACAATTAAACTGGGTTTTATTGGGTAAAGAGTAGTGGGTTTAAGACAACCAAGCATTATTTAGTTGAGTCTATACTTGTTCTACAAAGGTTGGCTGAAATGAATGACCTGCTGGTTTTAGTCATCATGTTAAATTGCATTTTCTGCAGATGGTCAGACAAGACTGTACTCAATTTCGTAAACTGGGCTCCTGGTCGGATAGGCCGTATTTCCAGGGAGAAGAAATGTGTGTATATGACAGCAGTTAGAGGTAAGTGGTACTTGTGTATTTGGGCTCAGAACACAACTGAACCATCTTTTTAGCAAGGGCACATCTTTTTGACTTTGTCACATGATAAGCCTGAACCCTTTGGATCGGCCACTAAAATGAGTTTACAATTGAATTTCAGTACCACGTGCCATATGAACCTACTTATTGTAGAGTCTGTTGGGTTAAAGGTCTATAACCTTATATTTTAGAATTGCGGGATGAAACAGGAGCTCCTGGAGGAACCCGCACATAGATTAATTTTAGCACTTTTTGTAGACTCATCTCTATTGAGTGAACAGAGAGAAGTTAAAGTGTATCATTAAAGTATAGTCTAAACTTGTTTTTTGTTTTAGAGTGAGGTTAAATTAGAACCCCTGTGGTTTGTGTCCCCTTTGAGTCCCTACCCCAGGGACAGAAAGTAATGGGATATAGAACATTTTAGAGTTGTCACCTCACCAGGGTGAGGGGTAATATTCTAATGGGGACACCTGTTCCAGAGACAAATAAGGTAATTTTCCCTCTTTTTGTAGAGATTTCCTATCACTTCCTGTCATTTCTCCAGAACAGGATGTGAAGGCAAAGCTCCTCAACTTCACACAAACAGCAACAAATAAATTGACAGGATTTTAGCTCTTCCCTACTCTATCCAAAACTAAAACGTTTGGGTTATATATACAGGTAAAACTGTTTTATTTTTGAGAACAAAGTTAAGTGAATGGCTGTGAGTTGTTAAATCTATTATGAAATACAAAGACAGCTAGTAATGTTGTTCAAAGGCCAAGTCCAACAAAAACTATGTTATTTAGTTGTGGATAGACTTTAGACACATAAGCACTTTAAGTCAAGTTTTTATTTCTTTTCTTGTGAAGTTTTCATGTTTGCCCGTGGCCCCATTGGAGAGATACCACAATGACCCTTTCTCACGCTATCCAAAAATAAAAACTAAAAACCTTGGCTGCAGAAGCCAGTCATAAATGGCTTCTGTAAAGCGTGATGATGTTGAAATTCCACTAGTGAAAATCTTCTGGGCTTCCAACTTTAGCTTGTCTATGCATCAGAACACCACTTTTACACCCCAAGATCAGTTACTTGTTGTTAGTCAGTGGTATTTAAAGATAAGTTCAACAATTATTTAAAATCCACCCAGCCGACCTAGCTCTCTTAATACACTAAAGATGAACCATCCCTGCCCCTTCCCAAGGGTATTTATGTATCTCCACTGGATGTGGCGGTCTCCTGCGTTGTCTGTATTCTGTCCAGTAAAAATCTAGTGCTGGACTGCCCCGTATGTGCACTGTTATCCTATAGACTTGAATTGGATGTTACTTCTGCAGTATGGGTGATTCCCAATTAAGACTAGAAGACATTAGTGCGCAGGCATGGGAAGCCGAGCAGAAGACCACCACCATCAGTGGAGATAAGTGATCACCTGTGGCCAAAAGGCAGACAGCATGGACGGCCGCCACTGTCAGATGAGGTAAGTAGACACCTGCAAGTGGAAGGGTTCAGCTTTGGATACTTAGGCGCTAGGGTTTTTTTTTTTTTTTTAATAATTACCAAACTTGTCTTATAAACTTTTTTAATTACCAAACTTGTCTTTTACAAACTTGCATAGTTTGTACTTAAAGCCCATATCTGTAATTAACTTGAAGGGTTTATACTGAAGAAGTTTCCCACCTGTAGTTCCAGAATTCGTCACTTGGCCATGTACAGTATTTGTCTTTAGTTGTATATTGCTTACCCACACAGTGCTCTTTCTGTCTGCAGGAGAATGGGGTGATCAGAAATGCGTAACTGCTCTGCCTTATATATGTAAACGGACCAACAGCACAGTGCCACCACCCACCTTACCTCCGCTCTCCCCACCCAGTGTGGGCGGCTGCCCTAAGACTTGGCTGCCATTCATGAACAAGGTCAGAACGCAGAGAAATGTAATGAAGTATGTTAAAACATTCTATTTTAATGAAGAAGAATAAAGTCAAAGTTTTTTTCATCAGCCTTGTGACTGTGTTCATTATCTTTAATACTAAAGCCTATGTCTGGCCATACACTGGTAGATTTTCGTACAAACATTCACAGGAAAAATCAGAACATTGGATAATGCCATCAGAGCCTTGACAAATGTCATTAGGAATTTAATTTTCACATTCGATTTTAGTCAGTTTCCCTAACAAAAACCATACTGACTGTTAGAATTTCATTTATTCAAGAAAACATTTCCATCCTGCTCCTTTTTTTTCATCACTAAGGTAGAAAAGGATTATTAGTTTGACCCCCTCAACTATTAGAAAAAACATTTTTTCTTACAAAATTCTACTGGTGTATGGCCAACTTAATACTTACTGGCTTCAGCTACAGTTCAGGACCCCACCCAGTTTTGTATTATAGAAAATCATCTATTAGCAGTCCTGACCTATTTTAAGAGGAGTCTGGAAGTTTTGTAGCTGTCTAAGAACAACATGTCGCTTAACTCTGCTATACTGTATGTCACTGGGTGGGCCTAGTATGACTTTGTTGATTTTTATCTCCATGTAGTGTTTTGGTGTGAGAGCAGATCGTAAGGTTGAAATGAAGACATGGCAACAAGCTCGAGATGCCTGCAAAGTCGTAAATGGAGAGATCGCCACAATTGACAACTACTTAGAACAGGGTAAGTTATACCATTAGCATTATAGCACTGGTTGGGTTTATAATCTGTCGCTGGCAAGTAACATCCATAAAAGGTGTCTATAAAATCTTTACAGCCCTTGTGTATAGTGCCTGGGGATATGCAGTAAACATTCATAGTTCTAGTTGGGAAGTGCAAATGTTGACTACAATTTTGGATAGTAATATCCACGTTGTTGGTAAAGTTATGCATGGACATTATACTATGGTTGACTCTTACTAAATGATCCCACTGAAGCTGGGAGATCTCTACCCCAAAAAGTTGTAAGAAGTCTTTGGGGCTTCCTAAAGGGCTTCCATCCAACACTTAAATATTAGCCTTTAGTGGACTTTGCCTTAAAAATCACACCCTATTTTGTATCTCTTTACTTCGCCTTCTTCAGCTTTCATTACATCCATACTTCCAAGTATTACCTCTGACCTTTGGATTGGTCTTCACAATGGACGACAAATATTCCAATGGGAAGAGGGTCAGCCTCTGGCATATGTGAACTGGGCACCAGGGTCGCCATCCAGAGAGAGCTCTTCTAATGTCAAGATGGTGAGACAATTTACATGAATCAGTACTACAGGGTTTCTAGATATCTAGAACTTGTTCATTATATAGAACACAATATAATATGCTTAAAACAAAAAAAAAATAACCTTTATGATACCTGCAGGTTAGCTGTGCTGCAATCTGGCATGGACTTCAACCACAGTTCACGGGGCGATGGGATGACAAACTTTGTTCAGAGAAGCATGGATACATCTGCCAGATCAGCAAAGGTGCGCTGTGAGTGTGAGACTACATTTCAAGCCTAGATTGCTTATGTGACAAAAAAAGAACTGAAAACCGAAAGACACCATAACAGCCAGTCAATCAGAATTCATCTATTAAATGTGTTGCATGATATGAGTTACTTCACTTTGCTTAATGCTACTGCTTTTAGCGCTGCTTGTTGAAATATATGTCCCTATGTGGTGTTTTTTGTTCTTAAAATGTTTTTTTGTTTTTCATTGCAGTGCCCTCTTTGAGCCCAGCACCCGATCCGTTTCCATTTCCACCTAGTACCAGGCTCCAGTACAGGAACAGCTCCTACCTCATTCTGCAGAAACCAATGTCATGGATTGAAGCCCGTCTGCTGTGCGAGACTCGTAATGCCACCTTAGCGAGCATCCCAGACCCCTTCCAACAGGCATATCTGACCCTTGCAGTAACCGGGCAGAAGACCCCTCTGTGGATTGGGCTGTCAAATGAAGAGGTGCCATGTTTTGTGCTTTCTGTTGAAGTATTCAACCCAAACTACAAGTTTCAAAATATAAAGTTATGTTGAATAATAATATAACTTAATGGGCCTTTTTGTGAAGTGTCACAGCGGGGGTAGACAACCTTGGAACTCTTCTGATAGTCCTGCCTATGGCTATCAGTGTCATCAAATGCCCCATGGAACCTGTAGTTCCACAACACCTGGAGTGCAGAGGTTGCCTACCCCTGATCGAAGGTAAGAAATATTCTTAGTGTCCACAGCAACTAGTCAGATATTCATTCTTCCAGTGCTGCCTATGACTATGAATTTAAGTATCCAAATGGATGGTTCTGCTAACCAAATGGTTTTTCTGCAGACACTATGGGAGGAATTTATCAAAACTGGAGCAGACAAAATCTGCAGCAGCATTCCACGCAACCAATCAGCTTCTATACTACTGATCTAAGCTATTTATATTGTAATATTTACCTAAAACAATGTTATTCCATACTTTGTAGGGTGGCCGATCCTACGCTTGGCTAACAGACGATGGGATTTCATACACCAACTGGAGGGATGGAGAACCTCAACGCCTTAGTGGCTGTGTATACATGGATGCTCAGGGAACATGGAGTACAGCAAACTGTGATCAGAAACTACCTGGAGCAATCTGCAACTACGACAGTCGTAAGTCCTTTTTTTACTCACATTTTATTATGTCTTCTCAGTTCTTTCCTTTCTCTATGGATATGTCCCAGTCCTTGAAAACATACTAGATTGACACTACAGTGTGAGTATTAGTGCTCTGATTGTCTTACATTGTAGAACCTCTGCAATGCCTGAATTCTGCTCTGCAGGGGAGTACCGGAAAGTAATATATAGTTTAAACGCTTTCAGTGTTTTAATGATTTTTTATTGGATAAAGGCAGGTGGTAAGTAATTTTCTAACTTGTCAATGAGTATTGATAGTAGCCCTCACTGACCAAAAAGGAGACTTGGGAGGTGAGATGGGCAGAACCAAGTAAGTTCTGTTATTGTCAGTATACACTGACATTAACTCTTTTTATGCCTTTAAAGTGCCCAGATTTGTGATCGGTCTACCCTAGAATTATTTAGTCTTTTTTTGCCATTTGGCAGGGATAAGTATAGGAAAAATGAGAGCACCACAGCATTCTCTTTAAGTGGGTTTTATTCAACATGGTACTGGTGTTGTTTTAGTCTGACCTTTTTTAAAACTGGAGGATTTACATTATCATGGTCAATGGACATGCATGTTCCTTGGCATCTCAAGAGTGCTTCCTGGGTTGGATAAACTGGTTTCTGAAATCCTACATTGATCTGTTCATCCCAGCTTTCACTCCGCCCTTGCATTTTGGCACTGCCCTGCCACGTAAAACATTGTAACATGACATTAAGTATAAAAGCCTTGGCTTCTTCAAGTTTAACAAAGTTAGCTCTTGAGATCCTACAGCTGTGAGTTATGGCACTTTGTTTTATTCCTAACTTAAGTGCTCTCTTTGCCTATGACATTTCCTACATTTTGTGGAATTGAAAGAGAATCTAAACCCTTACTGATCCACATTTCGTTTGTTAAATTACTGTGTATGGTGATTCCATCTCCTTTAGCCCTTTTTAGCCACTTTCTGTCTATATGTACTCACTCCAGTGTCAGCTGCACATCATTGCTCTGGACCAGCTACCAGATAATGACAAAGGTGGACTATGTCTGCGTAATGTGTGTAGACACGGCCAATTTTAGTTTCCACCAGTGGTATATATGACAACAAATGCGTACAGTTGGCAGACAGTTGTCACCGCATAATATAAGCTATCAGAGCACGACAGTATCACCAGGCATTCCTAAAATGAAAAACTGCAGATTTATAAAGATTACTAACCGTTTTGGAAATTACATTATCATGTGAAACTGAACGTAAGATGTTAGCAATTGGGTTTAGATGTACTTTAAAGAAGAACTCCAGGAAATGTAAAAGTGAACCCTTGCAATGGGGCTACCCCGCACTGCAAGGGTTAGTTGCGCATTATGGTCTAGGGGTTAAATAAAGAAAATCATCTTTAATGAGGGTAGGAGCTGTAAATCTGGTATAGCAAAACCCAGTGTTTCTCTAGTTGAATTTATGAAATCTGGACAAACATCAGTTGGGCAAGCCCCATAAACCATATAAAGACCATGATCCCTGCGTTTGAAGCTACTGGAGATATCTCTGTGTTCCGGATAAGAGGGAGCTGAAACAAAGTAATGATTTTGGGCAAAAGAGTTAAACTATTCGCTTGTAGAGAAAGGCTGTTCAGTGATTATTTACAGGCTCAAAGAATTGGAGAGGATTGTTTGTAGTCTCAAAATATATCAGAAATCTCTGATGGTTGTTAAGGGAGGTGGTGCTGTAGATACCTATTTAGTTCTGTGATTAACTATGGCAGCACCTCCCTGAACAAGAAATTCATCTGTGCAATGCTGAGCTATAAAGGCTGAGACTTCAAACAACCCTCAGCTCCTTTAGAAGTTAATGAGATGAGGGTTGTAAATCTCTGTACAGCCCCTGCCTCTGAGTATTAGAAGAAAGAGCTTAACTCATGGAGAACCTCTATAAATGTAATATCCTTGTCAAGAATTAAATTGAATGCAAAAAAACTGCAAAGATTGGTTGTTCACATGTCTACAGATATTAGAAAAATGTCTGCTTAGGCATTTACAGGCAACTTCAGAAATGTTTGTATGTCTTGTAGGCATTTTCCAATATCCCATGGGCAGCACTGAAAACATGATATGTTTCTATGTAGCCTCATGATAGTCAAGAATCGAAAGTAGAAAAAAAGGCAAGAATTATCCACAGGTACCGCAGAGTGCTGGAGATGCAAGGAACATAAGGGCACGGTTCTGCAAAAATTTGTTTTTGGCAATGTCATAGACAGAGGCCCTTTTGGAACAGGTCAGGCACCATGCCAGACATAGAATGACAAAAAAGGAGAGCACCCACTCCATGTGAAGGATCGTTTATTAATTTGCTTTTAAACATTGGTAATGCACTCACGAGAAAAGTGACACAAGCGTATTCAATGGCTCCCCTCACACTCACAGGAGGCTATCGCTCATCAGAAGCCACAGCGCAGCCAAGTCAGCTCACGACCTAAGTCATCTTCCAGCAGCAAGTGGCAAGGGTTTTTGCAAGGGTACCCTTGCCACTTGCTGCTGGAATACCTTTATCCCGCTGGGTGAATGTAACTTCCTCTCTCTGCCATGAAAAACTGGCATCCATCACCAAGATGGCCCCCGGCAGGTAACAGCGTGTGACGTCATCTCGCGTATGCAAATGCGTCACATGTGGGGGGGGGGGGGTGTCACCTGGTACCCTCTCCGGGTGACACCCTGGCTTTGGACGCCCCTGGTGAAGAAGAAGAATCAGCTGTTTCCCTAAAGGCAGGCCTGTGCTTGAGGCAGAGCTATGTAAATTTTAAAATGAACAATAATACAAATCCTATCACAGGTAAAACAGCTCCCTTGTGTGTATTTCATCTTTGTGTATATCTGTTTGCCTTAAGTTCAAATTTAAACAATTAGATTAGAAAGGCAGTGCCATTGCTCTTCAATAAACTATGCTTGTGCTCTGAAAATTCTGCATGCATGCATATACAGTACTATGAACTATACCAATGGATAAAATTGGTACAGTACTCAGCTTTTTCATGCGGTACACCACTGCCCTGAATAGGCTGTATTTCAACGAAACCTAAAAGAATTCACTCTGATAATACTTACTGCAATTTTTACCTGCATAACCTTTTAAAACCCCCAACCAGGATTGCAAAGAAACATATTATCCTTACCAAGAGAAAATTATGGGGTGGGTTGTTGCTGCATGGACCCAACAGGACAGGGGAGAACTCGGTGGGGGCACATGGGGATTCGATTCTTCAACATGCAGGAGATACCTTCCATTGCTGATCATGGCCTCATTGTTAATAATCCAGAAACAAAAAGGATGGTGAGAGAATATGTCATGGAGCAGGGTTCTTTGGATTCAATGATGCCACAAGAACTGACAGCAGCTGTGGAAAGAGTCAACTAACAGAGGCAAAATAGAAAGCTGCAGTCTCCTGAACTACTGTATCCACATTGAGATGGATGGAGGCTCACTGCCCACATGGCAGATAGCATGGATATACACCCAATGTCTTAACATGTCTCCTGTTCTCTCTTTCCTTAAACAGAATCTACCAAAAGCCATAAGTGGAGCTTTAACAACAGCTGTCCCAACTCAATAGGTGATTCCTCATGGATCCCATTCCGTGACTACTGCTACTCCTTCCACATGGAGGTCAACATTAGCCAGAAGGATGCCACCAAAACATGCCAGAAAGGTATTCACTGATAGCAATATCTAAAGCCTAGTTCAAAGTTTTTGACCCATTTAATATTAAACCATATAGAGACCCTGTCACTAGCAAATCTAGTATTATAAATGCTTACCTACAGTACTTTTTATTTCCATACATGTTTTCATTATTCAACTGCAATGTGCCATTATACTTAGGGATAGTTGATTCCATGGATCTTCCAGGAAGAGTTGATTTCTTGGCCCAGTCACGGTTTCCCCTCCCTCCTTGCATGTCATGACCCTCTCCTCTACTGGGAGTGTCCAATTACTGTTTTTGCTGGCCCAGCTCCTCTGTCCCTCCCCTCCATTCCTTACATAACCTTTTATGTTGCTGCTGGGGGAGGAGTGAAGGAGAATACTATAGAGCAGGGGTGGCCAAACTTCGGCCCTTCAGCTGTGGTGAAACTAAATCCTATAAGTAACTGCCTCTGGAAGTCATACTTGTGGCAGTCAGTCGTGCAATGCCTTATGGGATTTCTAGTTTCACCGCAGCTAGAGGGCAGGCTTGAATGACAGCTCTGAATCTGATAGGGATGCTGACATCACAACCAAGATGGCAGCACCCAGCAGCAGTCTGAGGTCTCTTGAGTTTACAATAGGGTGGAATTTACAGGTGAATAAAATGCACATTTGATCTTATGGTGAGATTGTTGCTGATCTGAATGGTCTGGTGATGGGGTGTAGTATCTATTAAGGATTTTAATGCATCTCAACTGCAGAAACTGTGGTACGATTTGCAAAATAGAATTACTTAGAGGAAAAAAGGCCAAGTAACATAAACACATGTGGAATAATGTTCAACTGATAATGACATGCGTTAACTTATGCAGGTTTGGTATAATCCACTCACATGAACGTGTATTACCTCAAGCAGATGTAGTGCAGTACTCTCTCAAAGTCCTGTGTCCTTGATACTGGTATCTTGAAATAGCAACGCATGTTTTGTATTCCTTCATACATTTTGTGGTATATTGCATAAGTCACTCAATGGCCTGTATTACATCATACAGGTCTAATGCATCCATTCATAAGGAAAATCCTATCAATAGGGGAATGTGTCACACGCATATAAGTAAATTATACTTGCGGTTGTGTGGATCCTCACTGGAAGCAAGGTAAGTTCTTTGGGAAGGCTGATCCCTGCAGGATTCCTGGAGAGTGCTCTGTGCAGTCTGGTGTATGGCTGCAAGGGTGGAAATGCAGACCTAAACTTTGGATTGCAGCAGCAGGCTTGATTTTGTAGAGCTGATAATGCAGATTGCACACACAGGGCTGCAGCAGCAGGTTGGGACTTTGCAGGGATAATAATGCAAGGAGTGGACACAGGAATGCAGCAGCAGGTTTGAACAGCGCAGGCTTCACACAGAGTATGGTTGCATATTGGATCACTCAGAGAGCTCACACTGGGAATTGTTTGTAGAGATGAGATTGCTGAGAACACACATGCACAATTCGGCAGTAGTGGATTAGAACGTGATAAATCTCACAGGAGTATTAGCTTGCCACAGATGGGAAGTGAGACGAGGTGAGACTCCATGGGTGTTGATTAGCTCTCAAGCAGGAAAGGAGAGCGGTGGCTGTGTGAGACAGATCCAATGTCTAAAGGTGCCCACACACCTTGCGATAACCGTGCGATAATCGTGGGAAATCCTGCGATCGTACGATTATTGCAAGGTGTGTGGAAGGCGTGCGACCTCTGCTACTGTAAGGTCGCACGACTTTTATCTCAGGAACATGTTTGAAAACCAGCCGAACATCGTACGATTTTCGGCTGGTTTGTGGCATGTTCGCAAGATAAAAGCCGCATGGGCCGGTGTGCGCAAGCGCACACTGCCCGTTTAGCATCGCGGTCATCGGAAGCCCAACCCCCCGGCGGGGCGGTGTGTGCCCAGCATTACAAATTACACAGACGCCGACTCCGGAACTTCATGGCCTAAAGAGGAATAGATCAGGTGACACGGCGGGACCTGATTGGTTGAGGGGTGGAGCTCTACTCTGATCCTGGAAGGTAAATATATTACATGGGGTTTCTTTGCACTCCCAAAATAAGCTATAGTGTTGCCGATCCATTAATAAGCAGATTTTTTAAGTTCAGGCAAGTAAAAATAGTGCATATACCTTGAACCGATCTTATAAATGATCCCCCTTGCTGTTTTGCATTTGCTCCACTGTTCACACAAAGAACTTTCATAGGAGGACTATTATTAAGAGGACTATTAGGACAGAACTACCTTCATGTGTGGTTTGCATGTATCCTGTGGGAGCACTGTAATGGGCTGCAATGGAGGTGGTGAGCCATGTTTATTTAAAATAAATAAAACACGCAGGGCAGTTTATAACCTTGTGCATTTCTAACAAAAACATTTTTAATAAAATAATAAACACAATAATTCCCTTTAAATCACTGTTTTAGCTGGTGGTGACGTTCTGACCATCGTAGATGAGACAGAAAACCTTTTCGTCTGGGAGCACCTGCAGACATTTGAAAGCCAGATACAAGGAGCCTGGCTTGGCATGTCCTTCAGTATGAAAGGTAATACTATATGCAGAGGGTAATGGGTAAAAGGAGGCCGATGGGCATGAGGCCTAATATGCCCAGATGTGACAAGCCATTCATTTTTTATCCATTGTTGGCTGAGCTAAAAGAGATAGTACAGTATATTATCAGCTTACTTGTGACCTTGACTTAACATCCTGTATGTTCTTGCATTGCAGAAGGCTCCCTATTGTGGAATGATAACACGCCGGTGAATTACTCAAACTGGGGTCAGCAAGATTCAGGTCCCAGCTTGCTGAGTCCAAATTCCTGTTACTGGATTGAAGGCAGCAGTGGAGTATGGGGTCTGGGTTCTTGTACCAATATCAGAAAGGGAGTTATATGCAAACTGTCTAGAGGTGAGCTGAGTCTTCACACTTTCAGGGCTGACACAGATATGATGAGTAAAACCGAATATTGCATGGCACGAACTGTAATAGAATGATTGTAAGTAATTTTACCATGATAGTATTTAGTGATTAGTGCTACCTATTTAGGATTTAGATAGCGCCAAGTCGCCAACAGTGTGCAGCTCTTTACAATACACTAGGAGACAGTACAGTTACAATACAGTACAAGACAATATGGTTAGGAGATTAGGTTAACAGGTACATTTAGAGGTTAAAGCTCAATTCCTGATAGATACAAAAATACATAAAAATGGAAGACCTGCTTTACTGTCAATATTCGATTCCCCAAACACAAGTATCTTGAAATAAAACTTGATGACTAAAATTTTAAAGTAGGAAAACTGGATTTTGGCGCTTCTGGGGAGCGCAGGTGACATCACCGTGGCTCCCCGCTGCCTCCTAAGAAAGCTAGGCATTTGGAATCCAACAAGAATGTGCTCATGCAATGCTGTACAATGTGTCTCCGTGTAATGTAACTTTAACAATTCTAAAAGAGTAGCATAGACTATAATTATGTCAATTGCTGTTTCCTTCAGTTCCTGATCGTCTCTTTCAATGAAGAGGCTCTTAGAGAACTGACATCAAGAGACAGGCCATTTCTGGCTGAAAACTCAAGATACTCTGATAGAAACCATGTGACTAATGCCGCTGCATCGGTTACTTCACCAGGCACTATAGGAAGTAGTATAATTCTTTCAGCAGATGATACTTTGTTCAGATCTTCTATTTTTCCAGATTATAATGTAGGCTAAACCTTAAAACAAAGCTGCATTAATATGTCATTGTAATATCTGCTTTAAAGTTTATATTGCAGATAATGATTCCTGTTTTAGCAATCCATAACTAAACATGTGTTTTGTTTATCTCTTCTTTGTTCAAATTCCGGCTTCTTATTAGCGGAGGAAGACACCGTTGCAAAGTCTAGTAAGTATTATTTTAGTGATTAAGAACAACTCCATTACAACTGTAACATTCTGGATTTCCCAGTACTTTCTGACCCAGTGATAATGGTCACCAGGGCAAATAATGACTTGGATTCCCCAAAAGATGAGTTTTTGTTAGTGCTATAGTATATATACTTTTAAATTACCAAGGGGGGACTATTTGAAAAAATGGAATAAAGAATATAGGAACAAAGGTAGCCCATAGTGACCAGGCAGGTTTCATCTTCTATTCTCTGTAAAATTAAACAAGAAATCTGATTGGCGCTGTGCCATTGCTAAGCAAAGTAACAGGTTTGCTTTAAAGGAGGCACAGAAGACAGGCTTTACTCACCTTCCTTGACCCTGATCCACTGCTTCAGCCCCAAGAAATTCCCAGTAATTGCATTCATGGAGTAATACATGACAGTCCCCCTGCCGCCCCATAATGCAGTTTGGGGTTCTTGAGCAGCCGTCTGCCAGGTCATGCCTGACATCTATGAACAAAGAGAGGCTTGCAGTACCCGGTGCGGGTCTTGACTTTCAGAAAGCGGAAACTTGCAAATGGATGTCGGAGAGCTCTGACATTGAATCAAGGTGACAGGGAGCCTGGGGAAGGTGCCTTCTATAGTAATAGTACAGGTTTGCTTTAAAAGACGTATTTCTAAACTATTGTTAAATTCAGGCAGGTCTTAGTTTCTGTTGTCTGCTATCACAACCAATAGGGCTGTATTTTGTTTGGCTTTTCAACTGAGCTACCCTTGTCATATGTTTGAGGTAGTTTCTCCGTATTTTACTATAGAGAATCCACTAGAAAACAGATGATAAAACCCTCCCGTCCTTTGCTGTCTAATTCACTTGGAGACCTCACAACCAGCTAAAAAAAAACATTGATTTCTGGGAGACTCTGTTGATTGTGATCCTTTATTTACTACAAAGATATGCCTTTCTTCCCCTTGTTTCTCTTTCCCCCAGGGTGCTTGCACACCTTGCACTTTAGGTCCCATATCCCCTTGAATTGGTACAATATGACTTTTGGTAGGTGAATACACTATCATTTGGCCTTTACCAGCCCTTGGTGCAAGGATACTGAGACATTGACCCTGTGGTTCCGATTCTTGGCCAACTATCTCCTCCCCATTTACTATTTTAGACCCGTGAGTAGGGATATTGGGCCTAATACTTGTATGAGACCTATTACAGCCTCTTATGGGTATCTCTTAATCTGAATTTCCACTGGGAGTGTCTCCCCCCTCCTCTTTCATTACCATTCTGTTTTGATCGGTGAATGCTGTCTTGTATTCTTTTTTGCTGTTAGTATCATTGTTTTTCTTTTGTATGTAACTAAAACTCTGAATAAAAATATTTGCTTAAAAACCAAATTGAAAACGTAACTGGCAGATTTGCTCTTTATCTGTATGTTAATATTTGGCAATTTCACTTTTAATTTTTTATAATGAACTATTTTCTTGCAGTTTTACCACCGCACAGCACGGCAGTGGCAATAGTCGTCCTCTCAACCTTTGCCCTTTGCATCTTTGTGGTTGTAATCATCTACCTGTACCGGCGCAGAAAACTTGCGGCTGAGCAAGGAGCATTCGAAAGTGCAAGATACAGCCGTGCCAATACTGCCCCGGGAGGATCAGCTGATAAGAACATACTTGTGTCAGACATGGAAATGAACGAGCAGGAATAAGACAGGGTTAAAGTGACGTCATGTTAAAATACAAAGCAGAGGGGTTGGGTCGTTTAAGAGGGTGCAGGATGCCCCTTTTACTGAAAATAAATTTGTACACTGTCAGTGTTATTTGGGGGCTGTCGTACATTGCTGAGCAATGGTTTTCGAGCTGCTCCGACATCAAGAAGCCATAACAGTACTGCCACCTTACTCCCAGCAGCCTCCCTGCCATTGTAAACTCCAAAGCAGACCTCTCTTTGAGACTGGGGGGATCAAATTGGGCTTAAGCTGTGTTCACTCTAAATTTCTGAGTTTAACAATTACTGTAACTTTGTGACCAAAATTTAGGGCTTGTATTTTCTATGTGGCATTGAGACTAGTCCAGTGTTTCTCAAAGTGTGGGACATTTACCACTAGTGGTCAATGCCTTCCATCTGGTGCCTACCACTGCTGGTCACCCTGCTTCCTCTTTTGTCCATGAGCATATAATGTTAGGGAATAGTTTCACACACTAGAGGAAGCACGGTCTTTTAAAGTACTACTCTATGTATGTATACATCAAACCGGTCCACATAATTCAACACGTGTAGAAGAATTTACTAAAATTGACCTGTGGAGTTCCACTTCTCCAGATAAGCAGGCCGTAACTTCTTAGGCCCGAAGCAGGAACACATGAGATGCTCAGCTCCCATGATTCAATAGGAACTCTCCATCCTATGCTTCATGAGTTATGATCATGCAGTGGTGGAGGTTGGCACAACATTGCTCCCACTGACTCCCCATTTCTAAAAGCAGGTACAGACAGCAAATAATTTAGGTAAACATTCAGAAACATTTAGAAACTGTAAAAATATATTAATCTAGACCTGGGTTAGAAATATTTCACTTGGCGCCCTCTTAATGCATGGTCAACATTGGGAAACATTGGACTAGTCTATACTATAGGTGTTTTACACAAGTTTACATATGTTTATCTGTCCTTTCTTCTTCTGATGTCTCATTAGTAATGCTTCACCTTTATGGCATCTCTTACTTTTTGTTTTTTATTAAAAGGACCAAAATTGTGCTATTTTACCACTGCTGTATATACCCGCTTATACTGCACCTTGTCAGCAAACAAAAAAAATGCACATATGCTAAGGGTGAACACAGCTAATCCTTGCCTTTAAAGCCACTGGGAGAGATGTCAGTAGATATATCAAGGATGAACCGAAGCTAGCCTGCAGCCCATGGCTAGTAAATGTATGTGTGCCCCTTGCCTCCATGAGCCATGTTTGCCAAAGTGCACCTTCTGTTAGAAAGGCAAGGGTTAATCCAGGAGTCTCACATCCAGAGCACCGTGTGCTAAAATAGGGAGTCAGGCATCAAAATACTATGTATGTATACCCATATGTCCGGGTATGACGTATTGGTATATTTTCAATGGCAATAAACATGACCGCATTCACGTGTAACATCATCTCTTATTTGTGTGGTGTGTGTGTGTGTGGATGACATTGTCCATCCGTGTTGTCACTTCAAGCACCAACCTTTCAACAAGGTCTGTACGCTGTATGGAGTGCAGGTGATTTTGTATTATCGTGTGGATGACATTAGATGCTTAAAGTGAGCATGTCAGCAACTTTACAAGTCTGTTTGAATGCAGTCTGGACATATCACAATACACTGCAGCATGATTTTGGGGAAACGCTGTACCTTTATTCAACAAATAGCAATCATTGGGCTCCAGTCAAATTACTTTGCCTAGGCTAAGATTATGCCATCAGTCTACTGAAGGCAGAAGAAGGCATTTCCTTAGTCTTCTTTCTCCCAGTGATTAGACTACACATCAGGTTTAGGCATCTTCAGCACTCCAGCTGTGGTGGAACTGCAAATTCCATCATGCCTCTGGGAGCTGTGGCTGTCAGAGTCTTGCAATGCCTAATGGGACTTGTAGTTCCACCACAGCTGGAGTGCCAGCGTTGCCTACCTCTACAGTACATTGCACCCTTGTTGCAAGTCACATGGTAAGAGACTGCAGCAGGATCTGATCAGTGTCAGGCATTTGTGACCAAAAACTGCACAGGCACCAAGATTTACATGATTGTGTAATCTCACAAACAAGATCTCTATCCAGACCAGGGGCGTTACTAGAAATCACAGGGCCCCATAGCAAAATTTTGTATGGGGCCCTGTAATTTCTAGTTACGCCCCTTGCAGTGCCTACCTGAGATCCTACATAGCTCACCTGAGAGTGACCCTGCAGAGCTCACCAGCCTTCTACACCAACGGGCCCCGCCTCCTCCTTGGTTGCCAGCGGGCCCCGCCTCCTTCACCGCCGCCAGGCCTGGCCTCCTCATCCTTTACCACCGCCGCTGGGCCCCGCCTCCTCCTCTGCTGGCTGTCACTGACTTGTCAGAGATCTGGACAGCGGCACTTTCCTCCTCAGTGACAGCCAGCAGTCTGCAAAGGTCAATCCATATCCCCTAAGACCCCGTTCACATTGAGCGATTTATCGCGCGGTAATTCCCGCGATATCGCGGCAATTTACAGCGCGATATCGCTCTCCAATGCTTCTCAATGGGGCAAAGGGTCCTGCTGTCGCGGGTCGTGTGTCGATACAGCAGAACCCTTTTTGGAGCGGATTTAGTCGCGATTCAAGCTTGCTCAATGCAAGTATTTGCGCGATATCGCGCAAAATGCAAATTGCGCAACAAACGCGCGATTTGCGAACCGCTCAATGTGAACGGGCTCTAAGGCCCCATTCACACTCCGCGATATGCAAATCGCGCGTTTGTCACGCGATTTGCATTTTGCGCGATATCGCAAGATTTGCCGCGCGATGTAGCGACACACGACCGGCGACAGCAGGACCCTTTGCCCCATTGAGAAGCATTGGAGAGCGATATCGCGCGGTAATTTGCCGCGATATCGCGGGAATTACCGCGCGATAAATCGCTCAATGTGAACGGGGCCTAAGAGTGAGTACTCACCCCTGGTTTCCGACTGTAACAGACAGCCCCACACGTTGTATTTGACCGAAGTAGATTGATCCGGTGTTAATTACCGGCACCTTCTCTGCCGTCAGTTCTCCAGATACAAAGCACCCGTTTCTCTCATGCAAGGAAAGAAAAAATCCTTCATAGTGTAGTCATTCCAAAGGTAGTTTATTCGTAATTTTAAAATCCAAAAGCAGTGAAACACTAGAATTAAACATTTATTCATTCACTTTGATTCACACAGGATCAACTTATGTTCACGAAAAGGAATTTTGGTCATTTATGATTGATTTTGCAGCACATTTGGTATATGTGAAAATCCGCCTTATGTACATTTATTGTTTGTTTAAAATTAGCGCTGTTGAGTTTTAAATATTTCATTCACTAGACCTCTAGGGGTCTATATCACAGCAGCTTTTTGATTAGTATTGGTCAACACATTTACGATTTGTTATTCTGTAGATTAGCGCTGCCCATTTAATTAAAACACTCTTTCTCCTCCTGCCCTCGCTGTAGGGAGTAGTAGGGAGATATGAAGAGTGAAGTCCAGGTCTGGGAGTGCTCTGATCCTGCAGATGCGCTTTTCTCTGTACCACCCCTCTCGCTCGGCACGCCATCCCTGCTGACCCCTTGACCCCTTTTGTACACTAAGTTTGGCGGCTGCGAGGCCCTCATGATTGCGAGGGCCTTAGGCGGGCGCATAACTCGCCTCATTTGGAGTGCCACAGAGAATCAATTGCAACGCAATGCACCATAGCGCACGATAGCCTGCCTTTAGCGCAACGCCACAGTGTGAATAGTCCCTGAAATAACTGAAATCTGATGTATGTAATAGTCAGAACTAGATGATGCTGGGCGTCCTCCTGCCTGGTAATGGAGAGGGCTCTGTATGACTTGCTGCAGCTTCTAATGCACATTGTGAGAGGCTCACAGGAGGGACATTTATCAATTATAAACAGGAGCATTGGAAACGATGACCATGATGGTTCCCAGTCAAAGTTTAACGACGCTTACAACTAAAAAATGTAAAAAATAACCAGGTAATGAAGGGGATGTAAGATGGTGGTACTGAAGTGGTTAAAGCCCGTGACACACTACATGTGAAGCTGCACGGAGCAAAGCAAAGCTGCGCGGCGCAGACATTCAAATGCAGAGCTCGAGTAGCAGAGCACGGCGAGATGAAAGACTTCATCTGCAGCCAATCAGCTCACGCGTAAGAACTCAATGGGGTTCGAGTCCTGTATATACATGCGAACCAATTGGCTGAAGATGATATTTTTCATCTCACCATCCTGTGCAATACGAGCTTTATCGCGCGGTAATTCCCGCGATATCGCGGCAAATTAGCGCGCGATATCGCGCTCCAATGCATTTCAATGGGGCAAAGGGTCCTGCTGTCGCGGGTGGTGTGTCGCTACAGCAGGACCCTTTTTGGAGCGGATTTAGCCGCGATTCAAGCTTGCTCAATGCAAGCTTGAATGCGATATCGCGCGGCAAATCTCGCGATGTCGCACAATATGCAAATCGCGCGACAAACGCGCAATTTGCATATCGCGCAGTGGGAACGGGGCCTTATGCGCGCAAGAGGAAACTGCAAGACACACTGCACGCAAAGATCCGCACGCCTCTGCTTCCCTTCATCCTTAGCCAATCGGTTCACGCGTAACAACTCAATGGACTTTGTATCCTGACGTGTGGGTTTATACGCTCAAGCCGATTGGCTGAAGATGACATTTTTCCTCTCAGCACGTTCAGCTATGCTAGCTCTTGCAAGCTGACGCTCCAGATCGAAAATGTAAAGACACAGTAAAGGCGAAGGTCTGCACGCCGCCGCATCCCTTTGCTGCGCACCACTTTGCATGCAGTGTGTCACAAGATTGAGGCATGGGCTTGAGGCAAGCTGAGAGTGCACTTTAATGGTGATGGTGGTCAGATTTTTCCCACATATCAGTCTGCAATTTGATGTCTATGTCCAGCTTTTAAAGTGTAAGTTAGGAATTATCTCAAAGAGGCTCCTCATTGAAGTACAGCGAAATGACTATTGTCCCCATAGCAGTTAGTGTATAAAGCCCCCTGTATGTGTGTGTGGCCGTTCAGT